ATATGTTTTATTGCGCTTATAAAATAGCTGATTAAAATGGAAGTGATGTTTTGAAGATGTGTAATACAAGTGAGGATTCCTTGAAGTTTGAAGTAGAGATAAAGCGGATAAAACACGCGGAATCAATATACACAGATAAATGAGCCATACTACACTGAATTCAGAGGCCAATAATGATACTATGCTTCATCTTCTTTGGTTAAATTTAGCATACTGTGTATGTAATATATCATGAACTCGTCTGAATGGTCTTGATGGTTATATTATTCGTATATATTTTATTCTAAACCAACACAATGGCAGATTTTTACATGGAAGGAAGTCCACAGAGGATTCTTAAAAAATACCAACCCAGTAATGAAGAAGACAGCCTTACAGTCTGGATCATTATATTAAGAGAAAAGAAAAAAGAAAAAAAAAGGACAAGAACGAAGAAACATCTATGGCGTCATCATCTGTTCCCTAAACCAGAACTATAGGATGTTTACATCATGAAGAAAAAAAGAAAGAGAAGAAATCCAAACTATCCAGGATAATAGAATCTGATCCAAACGGTCGTTCGTTTGGTTCTGCAATAGGACCTATTACTAGTGCATATAATTAATATATTGTTTTAAATATTCCAGATTTAAATTCAGGGTCCGTTGCATCCGTTTGACTATCCATCAGCAACAAGAGAAGGATGATATCAGAGGAAAATAACTTCTCTGCTTTGGGAGTTACGATGCATAATGAATAAGAAGTCTCATCTGGTCTTAATTGGAATGCATAAACAAAAGTTCCATTTGTATAGACACAAAATGTAAGCCTCAGCAAGAGAATAAATCGTAATATAATGTATATGCCGCCTTCATAAAGAACTTATTTTTCAAAGGTTTCTAGGGTCAAATATACAAAAGAATATCTGCTGACTCATTTATATGGACTATTTTGCAGATTTTAGCCGACAAAAAGGCATGCAGAAATATATTGTAAGCGAGATGTGACCTTCATATAATCGGTGAACCTGTCATTTTGCTTAAAAACAAGAGATAGACGCTGTTTTGTCTCATAAATATCTCGACCAGTGTGCACTGTGAGCGAAGAAACAAATTTTATACATTTTCTATGTCCTTTCTTTTTTTTTTTTTTCTTTATTATTGGTTAAAGATATATTCTATAATGTCTTAATTTATTTATGTAAGTGCTTCTACTTTTGTTAAACATTTTGGATTTGTCAAACTTATTTAAGAAGTACTTTTTACTACCTATCTGAAGATTTTGATGACTACTACGATGTATTTGGAATCGTATTACAACGCTTCAAGGTATCTTAAGGCAGTTCATCATAAGATAACTAATCCAACCTAAGTCATATATAAAACAGCCTCGTCGAGGAAGTACTAACGGTCTTGTAAGGAGAATTATGTCTCCCCAAGGAATTGGATTAGGATACTATGGGTTTTCTCACTGAATCAAAATCTGCTCTAACTCATGAATGCTGAACTGAGTATGAAAAGAAAACGACAAACATTCCGGAACTCATGGAAACCAAAGACAAACCTCACCTGGCCTTAAAAAGAGGAGATTCATTTTCCGCTCCTGCTTAGTTAAACTTCTCGTTGTCCCTTCTTACATATTTATACTAGGGGAACATATGAGATAAAAATCTATTAAAGGAGTAATCCAAAGCCTCTAAAAATTACGTATTTTGTTCTTACTCTGGATCAGGTCTACATTATTTTTCAATGTTTATTTGAAAAGAGGAGTCTCAGGGTATAACAAATCAATAACATCGTTATAGGTCAAATCCAAGGGACCTGTCAGGCGAAGATGTTTTAACCATCTTCTCTACCCTGCAACCCCAAAAAGGAAAACAACATCCCTTGAGAAAAATACCGAAAAATTATCCTCCGGATGACTAAAGTTGACTGTCTAAAAAGAAAAACGTCACATACAAGAAGAACTCCAAAAAATTCTAAATCTACTGATGAGGAATTATCTGGACTTCAAAGAATTCCCTAGAGTCTCTAAATTATCCAAGTGTTTATACAACCCCCTTGACAATAGGAAGATCAGGTCATGTTTAATATTAAACCCAATGAATCTCTCAAAAAATCAAACGGAAGTGACACAAGGTAAACTCAAGAACGAAAAAATTTCCGGATAATTCCTTTAAACGATTCAAAAATCCAATAAAAAGAACTCAAGAAAAAAATATGACCCTAGAAACTACCTTTTATCAAAATCCCTTCAACGTCTATAATTACATAAGAAAAATGCCTAATCAGAGAAACACAGTATAAACAAGTTTAGAGGAAACTAATCTTGTTCTTTTTATGTTATCTATAAGGAAAGACTAAGTGACAAAATGAATACGTGTTTATCAATTAAAAGAACATGTCTAAAAAGTATCATTACTTCTCTTTACCCAACAAAAAAAAACAGCTAAGAAATTACCTGTCCTGCTGTATGTTTAACTAAAAAAATGACTTCCAACAACTAAACAAAACCTCCTAAAAGTACCTCAGGGGATTCCTACATGAAGAACCCTTAACAAAAAAAAGTCTTTTCAACCGTCTCTTAAGTAACAAGAAAGAGTGATCTCAGATCCCAACCGCATCTTTTAAAAGAGCGAATAATTTTACAGAAACCCGGAAGAAGATGTAATAGTGGTAAAAGGAATATAAGAGTTACTGCCCCAAACTGAACAAGCCAAGCCATCTGAATTATGACTAAACAGAACCCGACAGAGGCAACCGAAAAACAGCCAGAAAATTCGAGGAAGATACTGCTGAGGAAGATATCTATAGGCATTCAACGGGAAGAGGTAACCGGGCACCTCAAAATGCACGGGCCGCATGACCCGATTCAACCTAAAAACGAACTATCCTTAACAAACAAAGCAGGAAGCTCCTCATGAGAAGAAAGTCCATCAGGACCCAAGAACTTAAAAACCTGAATAGAGTATCTGTGATCAAGCAACCCTCCAAAAAGCAACAGGAGAGAACGCGCAAAAACCTAATAACTCCTGGGCTGAGTTTCAGAATCAAACAGCAGA